CACATACGCACGCGGACACACGCACACGCACACGCACACGCACACGCACACGCACACGCACACGCACACGCACACGCACACGCACACGCACACGCACACGCACACGCACACGCGCACGCGCACGCGCACGCGCACACGCACGTTTCGGTCCTGGCCGTGGCATCCTCGGGGTCCTGGCCATGGCAACCTTGGGTGGCCCAGGAGTGGTGCGCCGAGCTCGGGCCCGGACAGCTCCAGAAGAGTCCGCCCGCCCGAGGCGCCGGAGTGCCGGATCCCACCTGGTACATCAAGGCCGCCGTGCAGCGGGCCAACGGGGTGCGCGTGGCGCCGCCCCCGGCGGAGCTGGCGGCGGAGGTGGGCGCGGAGGGCGACGGGGAGGAGCCCAGGGCGCCCCGCCCGCGGCGGCCGGCGCGGCCCCCCCGGCCGGCCGCGGCCGGCTTGGGGAGGAGAGGGCGGGTGGGCCCGCGAGGGGGCGAGGATCACCGAGCGCGTGCCACTGCTCGCAAGATGCCTGCTCGCCAAAGGTCCTAAAAGCAAGCGACTGCCCCCCCCCCCTCTCTCTCTATCTATTTATATATATATATATATGTATATATATGTTGGATCGCAAAGCCCCATCGGCGGATCCAGGCAATTTGCGAGTAGTTGCTTGGCGAGTAGTGGAGCGCGCCTGCGTAGAGGAGACCGCGCGTCGCGCTCGGCGGCCCCGGCCCGAGGCTCGCTCTTCTCGGGAGAGGAGATCCCCCCTCGAGGGGGATTGCCCCTCCCGAGCATCCCGCCCCCGAGGGGGACCGCGCTGTGCTCGGCGCGACAGGCGAGAGAGCCCAAAGGCCCAGGAGGGACTCGGGGAGAGGGCCGCTCCCAGGGGGCCTCCGGGCCTGTGAGCTGAGTTCTGCCCGGCAGCAGGGAACGAGCTGGGCGTCGCAACAGGCCGCCACAAGCTCTGAGCTGCAAGCCTACCCATCGGTCGTTGAAAGTAGGTATTTTCGGAGTCCCAGGTTCCAATCTACTTTCAGCGCATTCCTACTTCAATGACGAGTGGCTTCACCTTTTCCGTCCTCTTTCGGGGGCGGGCGGACACCCAATGTACTTTCAACGCCTTCCTACTTCTTGTTTTACCTACTTTTCATCTTCCGTCCGATGAGTACATTTGAATGAGCGTTTCTACTGTTACTGGCAAGCCCACCCCCTCCGGTTCGAACCAGGGGGGGAGGGGGGGAAGCTCCCCTTGTGAGCGCCTCGTGGTCCGACAGGACGCCCACTGGGAAGTGCGCAGGGTAATGCACACTCCATGTTTTAGTCGTCGCTGATTTCGGACAGGACTTTTGATTCGATGATGTCTTCGAGTGCCAGCACAAACACCTCCCGAGGTTCTGGCTGGACAAGTCAGGCCCTCTCTGGGAGGCCCCGAGGCGGCCCTCAGGAGCCGCGCGGAGTACAACGAGGATCAGGCGCGGGTCCCAGAACTTCGGCCGAGAGGCGGCGTTCCTACTACCCCGTTGGTTCCGAGACTCTGGCATGAGGAAGGTGAGGAAAGATGTTCTCTTGCACAGTTGTGTTCTAGAGCTCGGACCTCTTTATTTTCGTCGTCGTCGTCGTTCGTTCGTTCGTCGTTTGCCCTCGCCCCCTGGCCACAGAAGGAAACTCCTGGAGGAAGGAGGCGACAGCCTCCCGTCCCTCGCAGCTCTTTGGTGCAGGAGCCAGGGCACGCGTGTCACTCGGTTTTTTCTCCGCTTGAGCTGGCACGTTCGCGGAGCGATCGCTGCGGCAAGCGGAACCCACGGGGCGGGGTCGCTCCACCCGGGAGCCGAGATCCGTGGAGGGCAGGGGAGTGACGCACCAGCCTCCCAGGCGCTCCCTCACCACTCCATGCTCTAAGCTCGCTTCTCTGTGTCAGTCCAATCTACGCGGTCGCCGGCCGGGTGGCCGACCGACCGGAAAGTCCAAGCAACGTGCATTCTGATAGAAAGGTCGTAGTAGTAGTACTGGTAGTTCGTAGTGAAAACAATGGTAATAATAATTGCCCGCATTGCCGCCCCTGGTAACAAGGTTATCTAAGCATTTGTCTTTATTTCAGGCTGGCTCCTCTAGGAGTGTCGACGCAAGCTGTGGGCACTTCCGGCCGATGACCGCAAAAGGCCTCTAGGGCACTCCATAAGGTCACCGATGAGCGGCCGAGTAGACGTCACCACAAACAAAAAAACGTGCCTTGTCATGCTATGCCACACGCGCCGCACAACACTAAATGTAGACACCCCCACAATCGCCCACCCCCCCCCACCTGGTTCGAACCAGGGGGAGGGGCAACGCTCAAACGAAGCTCCGACAGTGCCCCGGCAAAGCCCAAACAAAGCTCAAACAAATGAGAAACAAAATTCCAACACAGCTCCAGCAAAGCCTGTGCGGGCGGGCCGTTGCAAGTGGGGCAAGCGAGGCAAGTGGGGCGCATTTCTAATGGTGGCGCATGACGTCGCCCTTTCGCACAGGTGCCTGCCTTCCG